CGTCCCTTCCGTCGCTCACCTCAAATCGCACTTCTACGCCTCCTCGAGCAGCAGCAGCAGCAGCAATAAATACACCACTCCACTAGGGGCCGTCACCAGCCATTGCAGGAAGACCACTGTGCCTCAGTGCCATGAAACCCGAATTGCATTGACAGGCCAATTCGGAAAACCCTGCCGCATCCTCCCCCAATTATGCAGAAACACATCCGTCGTGCATGTGTCCACCGCAGCCAAATGAATCCGGTCCGAATACCCTCCAAATCAAATTCCCCTTTCCTCAAGCCATTCCTTCATTCCATACGCCCTGACCCTCATCCGCACGTGCTCACTCACACAAACCGCCATAGACAGATGGTGGCCGCCCAACGCTCCGGAAAAACATGCCCAGCACGCACGCGCACAATAAATGGCATGCGCAAACGCACGGCACAACGGCGGAGAAGCGCACACCAAAAGGATGCGGCCCTCCACATCCGTCGCAGCCCACCGCGCGCATCACACCCGCAGGAAGAGTGACTCGCGGTGCGCGCTCCCTCTCTCCTCCTTCCCTTCATGCCCACGGAAGAAGCAGCAGCCACCCGCAACCGCCAGCACACGCCACAAAAAAAGCATCCAAATACACTGCAATGCGCATTCTATGTGGTTGTGTGTGCCTGCAGAAGCACGAGTCAAAGATGTAAACAAAGATGAAAGGAGCATGTGAAGGGACGCACAAACAAAAACGAAGAGCAGAGGTGCACGGCAGAAATAGAGAGAAAAAGGCTGCTCAAGCTCATAACTGCACTGCAACCCAAGCAGAGGCAATTCATACAAGATTTATTTAAAATAATTAAAAATAACAACTCCCTTTCATCATATATTAGCCCCCCTCGCACACAATAATTATATAAAAAGAAAGAAAAAGTCGTCCTTTATTACTGTTCCACAAAAAAAAAGAAATTGTTCTCCTTTATTACTTTTCCACACAAAAAGAAAAAAAAAGTATTGTCCACTACTACTGTTCCACCCAAAAAAAAGAAAAGAAAAACTACACACAAAAGAAACATTTCGCCTGGCTGCCGTGTGGCCACACCAAGCTGTCTGCATATATTTTGTCCGAAAATTAAAAGATATTTAAATGTCTTTCAACCGTCTGACCCTCTGTCTGTCCGCACATCGTTTATATTTCATGGGGTCATCTGCGTGTTGCTGCTCCCCTCAGCCCTCTTATTGGTGCGTGAGTGCGGCCCGCAGAGCACAGTCACTCGTGTGTGTGGGGACTGAGAGAAGCACGCAGACATGACGGCAGTCGCGTCTCTCCACCGGGAGAGTGAGCGCAGCAAAAAAAAAACACGGCGGCAGGGTGTGGCTGTGTGTGTGGCGCTGCGGGTGTCTGCCCGCCCCGGCCGCAAAGAAAAAAAACAAGAGGGAAAGAAATGTGTGCTCCGCCCCACAGGCCCTCGTCGCACGCCCACACGTCACGGCTCCCTCAGCGCGCCGTTCGTCGCGGCCCCTCCTCATGCGTGCAGCAGGCGAGGCGCACAGGGCCGTCGTCATGAGCGTGTCGGTGGGTGTGCGAGTGGAGCAGTTGGGCGGGAAACACGGCACCCCTCACAGGAAAAGTGCAAAAGAAACAATTGAAGAGAGGGAAGAGTAGAAAAGAAAAAAGCGTTCATAGTGATTGCCCCAAAAGCAAAAGGAAAGAAGGAGTGGGGCAAAAAAAAAACTTAAATTTTTTTAAAAGCAAACAAAAATGATTAAAAACAAACATAAAAAACATACGAAATTATACTCCGAAAAAAAGAAAAAAAATTAAAAGCAGAAAAAAAACGCTTATAGTGGTTTCCCTAAAGCAGAAAGAAAAAATGGAGAACATTAAAAGAAAACAAAAACAAATTGTTCTCTGCGTAGTAAAATATATTCCTAGCGGTGTGTGTGTGTCGGTGCAGGAAAGGGCACAAGTGCTCCACACTGAGGCCGCACACTCCTCACGCAGCCGCAAACCCCCACAGCCCCAGCAGAAGAAGCAGCGGCAGCAGTCCCCTCCCGTACGCGGAACCAGCATCACCATTTGCCCCACCATCACCCGTTTCTCGTGCCGTCCCTTCATTCCCAGCAGAAGTCAAGCGTCCCGCTGGCGCATTTTGGGTATTGGCAGCTCTCTCCACAGTTGTCCTCCCCGGTGCTAAATATTCTGGGCCAGACACAGCAGATGCGATGGTTTGAGGAACATCTCCCGCTTGTGGTTCCGGAACTCTCTTTGGAACGGGTTTCCTGTCCTTGATTGCAGCCATCTCAGTGGGATTCAGTGGGCGGTTGTACAGAAAAACATTTGTCACCGTCATAGGAGAGTTTTGCATATCACACGCGCCAAAGCAAAAGCTTACAAGCTCAAGTGGCGCCTCACCTGTTAACAGCGTTTCCTCTTCCCCCAGCAACTGGCCATCAACGTACATAGAGCTCTTGTTGCCTTGCAGCATGAGTGTTACTTGGTATTCTTTCCCCGACTCCCAAGTGCCACTTTTTGGTTTCTTATTGTATTTGAACATCATCTCCCACTTTTTGTCCGCCGTATACAGGATTCCCATGGTATGCGTGGAATTAGTTTCCCCCCAAATCGCACCCAGTAGAGGAGTGCTATTACTCGGAGCCTTTTCGATGGTCACCGACGCCACAAGTGTGAAGTTGTGGCTCAATGATACATGACGCACATTATCATCCCGAGTGTTCACAAACCATAGTACCCCGGAGTTGGACTCCGTCAACTGAAATCCATCCTTGACCTTCCTTCCTTTCGTCACCGTTGCATTCAGGCAAAGGTACTCGTCGATCCACGTGCCATTGCTGGCCGTATCGGACAATACTGCCACCAGACCCGCCGTGGGTATGGCCAATTTGGAGAAGAAGGCGTCCTTTTTTGCCCAGGTCTTCAGGACAGAATTGATTGTACTCAGTTCCTCCGTCAGGCGAGAGAGTGAAATGGCACTGTGTTCACCACTGCCCCTCCGTTGTAAAAGATGCAACTTGCCATCCGAGTACAGCAGGTTGCTCGCAAACTCCCACCTCACAGCAGCCTCTTCCACGGCAACCGGTCCAACACAAAACGAGCGGTTGTTGTCCGTTACCCAAAGGAAGAGCGGATTGGCCTTATTCTTCCCCGAGAAGTTTCCTCGCTGAATGTACAGCATGACCTTCCTTCCCTCAATGGTCGCGGTGATGAGGGCTTCCACGTGCAAGCTCAGATCCCAAAATAATAATCTTGATTTGGTCCACACGCCTGAAAGTGCCCCGATGGTCCCCGTCCACGTTGTCCCCATGTCACGCGACTCGTACACCCTCTGGCCATCCTTGCAATCAACAATCATGAGAAGTGATCCCTTCCACTCGGTGACGCGGGGTTTAAGGCATTTCGCAGGGGACATGCCCTCAGAGAGCGCCCAGGTACTGCCGTTGTCCGTTGAGTAAATGATCATGGAGTAAAATTCTTCTGCTTCATTCTTCGCCATCAGTGGAAACACAGGCGTGCCATCCTCCATCAGAACACCTGAGCCACCAGCGGCAAGAAACTCCTTCAATTTACCTTCGTGAGCAGCTATAGTACTCTCGTTTAACAGAGACCTGATTTGGTCCCATTTGATACGTTCAGTCAGCTCGCTGCTCGTAGGCTCCCTCACATCACCCACAACCAGTTTCAGACCCAGGTTGTTCCATTTCCGATTTCCATCACTTTCCTTCAGCTCACCAAGGCTTCCCACAAGAAGAAACACCTTATTGCCCTTCGTGGTGGCTGTGGGGTGGTAAAAAACACCCACACGTTTATCCGTTCCATCTGTTGGTCCAAGCACGGTGTTTGCCTTCCATGTACTTTCACTCACCTTGCCAACAAGTGTGGACCAATCCCACGAGGAGTCAATGTACTCCGCAACAACATAAGAAGAAATTGGCTCAATTATTTTATTACGATCAACGACATATTCGGCATACACGCGACCTTCGGCAAAAGCAGCAATTACTCCACCAGCACTGACGAGAGATGGTGAAACAAATAAATCCCTCTTAGTCTTTTGAGACGTTCCACCCTTCGGCAGCACCAGCGTCTGATTCGGCAAAAATAGATCGACCGTATGAGGCAATTGCGCATTCCCCGAATTACTCTTCACGGCATTCGAAGCCCCACCGCTGCAGCACATCATAACGACAAGGAGGAGCAGCACAGCGGAAGTAAACACATGCCGGAACATGTTAGGCCTCCGATGCTCACCCTCTCTTCCTTCTCTCCTCCTTCCGCTGGATGCGGTCACGCGGCGACAGTTGTGTTTGTTGGGTGCCTTGACTGCAGCAACACGTGAGAGCATGTAAATATGTGTGTGTGTGGGCGGTGTGTGTGTGTGCTGCTGTTGGTCCTTTTAGAGTCTTAGAATTTCACAGTAGCGTTTAGTGTTTGTTTGCTTTCCTTCCTAGCGTGTGTCTGTGCATGAGACGGAGAAGAACAACAGCGGCAATACATCAGACACACCCGTGGGGATCAAAGCAGAGCACCCACGCAGAAAGCAAGACACAAGACAATCCGTAAGGGACAGCACGGAGAGCCATCGCCCACAGAAAAGAGCAGCAACACGGCAGGTCACGGCGGGCCGTCGGTGTGTGAGGGCCAGCACTCCCACGGTGCAACACGCCACACCCAACAGGGGAAGACAGACAGGCGGAGAGAGATGAATGGATGCCGTCACGAGGCACTCACAATCAACATGGCCCGTGAGCATGCGGCCACTCCACGGAGGAACACGGGAGAAAAGGATGAGAGGGAGAAAAAGGCAAGAAGCAGCACAAACACACGGAAAGAGCAAAAGACAGGCGGGAAAAGCACCGCCACGGCCCTCATCCTGGCCAGCGACTCCACACCAGCCCTCACACACACACACACACGCAATCGCAGTGCTGTCAGTCCGCAGGTAAGAAGATTCGGCCCTCCACACAACAAACGCACACACCGCCAGCAGTCACCAACCAATGGACAAGAAGAGACCCAACGCCACCGCCTCCAGCTTAATCACATGGCGAACGGGATACGGCCACATCCCTGCAGAAAACACACAACGCACACGAAGCGAGCAATCACCCAAAGTGCCACACGTGGAAGCGGATCCTCATCCATCCATGACGCGGAGCTTCAGTCCACGCGGTCACACGGAGCGCACTGTTTCCCCAATAGAACTCATTCGTCGTCCATCCCATAAAGATGCTTCGTTTAATGATGGGCCTTTGAACACAATAGAAGAAAATGGACAATGCAGTGGTACTGTGACACCGCCATCCACAATGATTCTCTCATACCGGGGCAATTCTCCAATTAAGCCTCATACCCACACAATCAACACACTATATAAAAACCTCCCAATGCTTTTCACCAGAAGCCAAACAACCCCAATCCCTAATTTTATTCTGTCACTGTTATGTTCGATAGCGTTGAAAAGTTCTGAAATCTGTGCGATATACTGTCACCGCATGGGGCTGGTGCACCCGCACCGCATGCTCAGACACAAGCATCCAAAAATACATAAATCCCACAATATTTTTTACCATAAATCAAACTGTCTCGTTCACCTTCAATTTCCCAATCTATGTTCCTATTGTTATTTATTTTATTGCACACTTCGGAGGGCTTCGTCCATTGAAAATTCTCCGGACGATATTAACACTTGGTACTGGTGCACCTTCTTCCTCCAGAACGCCGCTATTTCATAGTTTTCTGCGTCGGTGTTATTATTGGAATTGACGACATCACATCTCTACCAGCCATTCATCGGCGTGCTGTCTGCGCGCTGCAAATAAATAATATCCCACGACATGTCTCGGGATAATTCCTCCCAACCATTAAAATATGCCGCCAGGCACTCAGTGAACTGCCTCGCAGTGCTGACGGTGGTGTGGTGCCCACCCGCCGTAGTCATCCGCAGCGCAACCAGAGTCATTGGATTGGACACCAAGAAAAAAAAGATGTCCACCAGCGGAAAGTTTGCGACCGCCGGTTTGTACAGCACCCCGTACTTTATTTTACGGATCGGTTTTTCATATTCACTCGGCAGCAAACCTTCATCTCCCTTGGGATGCAATTCAGGGGCCAACTTCAAGACGCAGGGCTTTGCTTGACGTCCTGTTGGTGGCTCAAACTCCGTGGGTTTTGTCCCTATTGTCTTGACAAGGGCACTCTCCGTGCACAATTTCAAAGCAAACCATCCAAAAAATATTGGCAAAATATTATCCTTCGACGCCAACATCAGCCTCAAAAAGCCATCTTATTCTGTTGCACTTGGGAAGCGTTCCAATGCCCGTTCCTCGAGGTAAGCAGATATCGGTGCATTGAAAAGGATCACACCGCCTGCGTATATTTCCCGAACAACTTTCACAGGCTTGTGAGACGGATCCTCAGAATACCATGGCGACTCACCTCCCCGTGAAAAGTGCTCTTTCACAGTTACCTCGTTGATCGATTGCAATGCAAACCCACCTCTCCACAGCGTTCCGTAAACGCCTCCTCATCAAAGACGTGACGTGGAATCGGTCCCAAAAGATACATGTGTTTTTTCGACCTCTTCCAGCATTCCGCTTGTTTCTCTTTAGTCTCATCACGCGTTATCCAGGCGCACGTCGCCTTCACATCCATCTCGTCGGGGCACTTCACGATGACTCGCGCGGCTTGTAGTTGCTTCGCCCACTCATCACAGTTGGTTACCTCCGGGAATGACACCGCAATCATGCCCCTTCCAGAAGTAGGCGCAAAATGTCTCGGTGGCGGCGTTCCCTCCTTTGCCACATCGTGGATAATATACACATTCCTCCCATGCCCCGTCAGACTTCTCAACTCCAAGATGCACATGTCCTCATCGCCGTATCTTGTCACCGCTCTGGTGGTCTTGTCAGACACGTACGCATCTCCACCAAAACAGTGGACAAACACTTGGAGTTTCTCCACATCGCAGTGCAGCAGCTGGTAGAGGAGGTGCGAACCGGCAGCCACCGACTTCCCTATCCCGGGCGTCCCAATCAACACACGTCGCTTGGGCGTAAAGTAGGCCCCACCGTGAGAGCTGAGCCACGCGGTTAGATCGCCCCTGACGATCTGCCACACTCGATCCACCCCACAGTTTACAAAAACGTCCTTAGGAGGATCCTGTATCGTATTCCGCGTGTACGGCCATCCTTTCACCGAGGCGAGCACCATCAACACGGGAGGTGCCGCACCGGATTGCTGCACAGCGTCATTCTTTTCGGTAGCGTCGTCAGCTTTCTTGTACGTCCATGACTGTTCTGGCTACCCCTCATGCACCCCCATTCCCATCCCCGTTTTCTTCGCTCCACGCCGTCCGGAAGTTCCACCGCATGGCTCCGCCTCGCATTGTGCACAGACTCGTAGCATCCCTCCAGTTTCTCCGGTGCGGTCGTCGTCGTTGGGTTCCTCGCCTCCTCGGCAGCCGCATCCAAGAAATGTTTGGTGGAGTTATGAACAGTTGCTTTTACCTCCGCAGCAGCTAATGACCACCCCGGTGGATTGTTGACACCGTTATCGCGAAGCTTGCGTATATCCTCATCGAAGATCACTTCACCCTTTACAGCTCGCTTCATACTCAAATAATGACCTGATGCCTGCATTTCGTCCAATGCTCCTTTATCACGGATATACTTCGTGGGGTCCTTGAAAAACTCCTCCAGCAAGACATCCCGATTGGTGTCCACAATGCCCCTGCCGTCCAGTTCCCTCGTAAGATAGTCGCTCAGCTTCATTTCATTGACGCGAGCTCTTCCTTTAAACAGTACATCTTCGATATTAGTGGAAATGGTAAATTTCATTTCTTGCGTTCGTCTTAGCCTTTCCTCTGCCTCCCGCCTCGCTTCTGTCAGTACCTGCGTGAGTACTCCGTTTGGTATT